GTTGTTACTGTTATTATATAAAATGTGAAGCTCTGTTATGTCCCCTCCAAGCCCTCTTGCCTCTCCACTTCCAGAAGCAACCACTAACAGTCATTTTCTATTCGACATCTTAATAAACAACTCTTCCGTGACTTGTCCTTTTTTTAGATAACAGCATGTCACAGATACCTTCTTAAGTAGATGTAGGTTTAGTTCCTTTTTTTCAACAACTGCATGGCATTTCATAATGTGACTCAACCATAATTCATTTAACCATCCCCTTACTGATTGTTCCATTTCTTTTTTGTGATGTAAATAACACTGCAATAAACATCCGTGTACAAAACATGCTGGTGGACACCACAGGGTGAGAACGTCTCTGCAGGACAAAACCCTGAGGTGAAATTGCATCAAAGGGCACATATACTTGAATTGTTCCAGATACTGTTACAGTGCCCTCCCAACATGCGGAACCTGTACACGGCCACCAGCAGTGACCACTCTTAATGGTGTGTGTGAGTTTCCCACCCTCCCTCCAACACTGGATACAATCTGCTTTAAATTTGTGCCAATCTGATAAGTAAAAAAAATATCTCAGTGTTGTTTTAATTTGTAGTTGCCTCATCACTTGTGAGGTTGAGCATCTTTTTCATGTTTATTGACCATGAGAACTCCTGCATTCCTTTACAGAGGAAATTAGGGATGACTATCTGGTTGGAAAGAGAGGAAAAGGGCTCATCTGGAAGCTGAGTTTACATAAAACTGAGAGAATGTTAATTGTCCAGATCAAAGAGTGGGAGGGAGGTTGATGGCATTTTTGAGGGGTCTGAACCCCTCCTCTTCCCAAGCCATCCATTGGCCTTAGCATTATATAATGGCCATCTGCATTTCTTCTTCTGGAAATTACCTATTCATATCATTTGCCCATTTATTTGATTGTCTTTTTCTTATTAATTTGCTACCATATATATACACACACATGTTAAGAATCCTTTGCTTTCAATTACATTTTAAGTATTTTCTTCTAGGTAGTCACTTAAAAATTTTGCCATAGAGAAGCTTTAAGTTTTAAGGTAGTCAATCTTTCAATCATTTCTTTATGGCTCCTAGTTTTTGTGTCTTACTTGGAAGACCTTTCCCTAAGGGGTGATATAAAAACATTTCCCACTGTTTCTCTTAAATATTTCATGATTTTATTTTTTTACATTGGAGATTCTGGTGAGCATTATTTTTTTCCTTGGCATCTTAAAATAAAATACAAACACATGAGCTATCAAAGACTCCTGGGATTATATCAACAGGACTCAGGAGCTGGTTTAGAGGTGCTTCCCATGGTCAAAAAAATGGCACAAGAAGAATAATAATTGCAGTGGATTGAAACATATCAAATATGTTTAAACAATGAGTCAATAATGATCTTCAACTAAAAAATAACAACAATAAAAGAAAAATATCTCATTGACATAAGATGCTAGGAAACCAACTCATTATTTTCAAACCTGGTCAATAAGGGGTGAAAACTAAGCCTTTACTTTGCATTTTCCATGCAAACTGTACCTCAGTGCAACCAAAGAATTGACAATGGTATTTCTCTTTATAGAACTATTTCAGATAAAAATGAAGAAGTAATAACAGAATTAGTATGCCACCATTTTGCAACCTCTTATAAAATAATGCTTCAAAGTGATTATTGTCAAAGCCTACCAAAAAACAAAAAGAGAAGTACACACTACCCCCTATGATGCATTCTTGCTAAATAAAACCTAATCTGAATTTCAGAAAGCCTCTGGAGAGGGGACAGAGTAAGATGGTAAAAGATACCATGCGAATGTGATCAACAGAGCCCACACCATGGAAAACACTACAGAACAATTTGCTATCTTCAACAAATAAATTACAGGGGGGAAAAAAGAGAAATGTCTATAGATTAAAAAAGGCATTAGAAACATACCAACTAATAATACACATTTTGAATCCTACTTTAAAAACTCACACAATTGAGAAAATTTGAACACTAACTAGATATCTGATATTTTTTAAATGCTGTTAATTTTTAGGTCTGACAATGGTATCGCTATGTTTACAAAAGAATCCTTGTCTTTTAGAGATACAAACGATCAGTGCCCTCCAGCTAAAGATCACCAGGGACACATGCAGAGTTGAACAAAGTTGGGTTTTTTTGGACTTGTGGCAATGAGAGAAAATGCATACCATGGGAACCGTGGGAAGTCTCAGCAAAAGGCTGTTAGAAAGGTCTCATAATAAGATTTGGACTTAGGTGATTTGGAGAAAGATTCAAAACAACAGGCTTTACTCTGGATCGGATTATTTTAGGAAGTGGGAATGATGATATGATTGGGTATCTTAGGAGTTGTCCCTTAAAGGGCAAGTTGAACAGAGCAAAGCTAAAGCTGTGACTGATAAAGAAGCAGCAGTCACTCATGTTAGCCGGCTTAGGGGGGTGGTTGGCCATTTTTGAGGTTTGGACAATGTTCATGTCTTTAAGTGTGTTCAGATGTCTCTTTTTTCTGTCTCAGTCCAACAGGGTCATAGAGTAGCCGTGTCTGGCATTGGTGTTCTAGCTGTGACTGACACGTTAGTTCCTAGCCAGGTCAGTTCCCAACTGTCAGGGACTGCTTTTCTCTTTCTCAATACTGAAATTTGCCGATGAATACCATGTAGTCTGGGATGATGTGCTTTGAAATAATGGAAGCAGGTAGAGGCAGATGCAACAGGAATTACCCACCATGAATTGCTAATTGCTGAAGCTGGGTGATAGGCCCATGCCAGATCATTATACTCCCTTCTCCACTGTTATTTTGGAAGTTTTCCAAAATCAGGTATTTAAAATTAATAATGGAAAAAACAAGCCACCAGATATAATGTTTGGTCACAGAACTGGAACTTTAATATTTCTAAGTCAGCACAGACAGTCTTAGGAGTCCACTTCACAGTCTAGAAGATGGAAGAGTAGGAAGGCAAGATGGAAACCTCCTCCCACACACACACCAAGGAAGCAACTACGGCAAATACAACTAAACCTGAAAACGAACTGAAGACCGCAGAATGTACCATCCATCTACACCTCAGGAAGAGGAGAAGACCACACAGAAAAGGGTGAAGTGACAGAGCCACAACCAAGCGGGGAACCCAGCCCTTCCCCATCCCAGCGCACAGGTGGGAGGAAGAGGAACAGAGCAGGATGGGGATAGGCACCCAGGAACTCTCTACACGTGGCCCTGGAGGTCTGCTCCAGGAACGTGAGTGCACACTGCATTGGGTTCTGCTGATCAGTGGGACTGGACACCAGGGACAGTTGGAACACTCTGGAAGGCGGGGATACCAGGCACTTGCCGAGCACAGGCAAGCTCCGCTGTTCTCTCTGAGACCCAACAGAGAGGTAGCAGTTTGAAAGACTTGCCAGCAGTAGGAGGGGAGCCAGAGGGCGAAGGGTGAACTGAGCTATCTCTGTAGGAGAAAGGGCAGGTGCAGGATACCTCCATAGGCCTCCCTTGGCCCAAAGGTCAGGCACTCTCAGGAGCCCCCGGCATTCTGTTGCCCTCACTGGTGGCTCAGCCCTGAGGCACTTCCCTGTGCACCACCAACACTCCAGCCAACTCAACCCAGCAGCATTGGACTTTGCTGCCTGGTGGGCAGAGGGAGACTCTCACAGCTTTTACAACCATTTCAGCCCAACTTGGGGGTTGCCTGCAGGAGCACCTCCTTCTTCCCTAGGGGTGGCCAACCCCAGTGCTATGCACCTCTCTGCTGCTAGGGGGTATCCCCACAACTTGCTGCAATAGCTGGGCACTGTCCCAGTGCAACTAGCTGCCTACACCGCAGCACAGCTTCCCATCACCAGACTCCCTGCCTCAGTGCGTCTGTGTGCCACCCCTGCATGCAATTTGCCACTACTTCTCACGCCTTGCCCCACGCAGCCTGCCATTGTGCAACTTGCTGTGCGACCATCCCACCCATCCTGCTAACCTAGCAGTCCTGCCACCACTGCAGGGCAGGCAGAGGGTGATGCCACCCATAATGATCCCAGCAGATCACATAGGCCTGGCTGAGGCAACCACTGGCCTCAGCAGACTGAGATAAACCATTGTCAGCATACAGGCACAAAGGCGACCCTGCCCATTGCCCACCCACAACAACTGGGGTTCCCCAGCAAAGGAGAACCAGGCATTGGAGAGGAAAGAGTTCTCAGCTTCTGGGCACCACAGGACACCTTCTTCATAAAGCCATTACTGTCTAGACCAGGAAGTATAGATCCATCTAATACAAAGGAAGAAACACAGAAACCCTGACAAAATGAGGAGATAGAGGAATATCCAAACAAAAACTACAGGCTAAGACACCAGAAAAAGGGCTAAATGAAATGGAGATCATCAATCTTCTTGATAAAGATTTCAAAAGAACAGTCATAAATAAGCTCATTGATCTGCAAAAATGTATTAAAGATCTCAGGGAGAACTTCAACAGAAAGATACAAGAGCTAAAGAATATAGTAACTGAAATAAAACATACAATGGAAGGAATGAATAATAGATTTCTACAAGCAGAAGAGACAATCAATGAGATGGAAATTAGATAACAGGAATACAACAAAGCTGAGGAACAGAGAGAGAAAAGGATCTCTAGGAATGAAAGAATGATAAGAGAGCTGTGTGACCAATCCAAATGAAACAATGTTCACATAATAGGGGTACCAGAAGGAGAAGAGAGAGACAAAGGGATAGAAAGTCTCTTTGAGGAAATAATTGTAGAAAAATCCCCCAATCTGGGGAAGGAAATAGACATTCAGGTCATGGAAGTACAGAGAGTGCCTAACAAAAGGAATCCCAGGAAGACAACACCAAGATATACAATAATTAAATAGGCAAAGATTAAGGATAAAGAGAGAGTATTGAAAGCCGCCAGAGAGAGAAAAAAGATTATTTATAAGGGAAACCCCATCAGATTATCAGCAGACTTCTCAGAGGAAACTTTACAGGCCTGAAGGGAGTGACATGAAATATTTATGTACTGAAACAGAAGGACCTTCAACCAAGAATCCTCTACTCAGCAAGATTATCATTTAAATTTTAAGCAGGGATTAAACAATTTCCAGATAAACAGAGGCTCAAATAATTTATAACAACAAAACCAGCATTATAGGATATGTTAAAGGGACTGATACAACTGATGTAGATAGAAATGTTCGTAATGCTAGCTTTCACCAGTGAAATTAAACCCACAGTAAAGGTAGTAGGCCAACTAACTACTAAGCAAGTAAAAAATTAAAACAAAACCAAAGTACCAAAACCAACTATACACAAAATCAATCAAGGGATACACAAAAAGTACTGATTACGACATCTAATACATAAAGTGTGGAGGAGGAAGAAGAAAAAAAGTACTTTAAGATTGTGTTGGAAATAGAGTAATCAGCAACTTAATATAGACTGTTCTATAGTCAGGAAGCTATCCTTAAAACTTTGGTAACCACAAACCTAAAGCCTATGATAAATCCAAAAATAATTATAAAAGAGAAACGCTACTATGCTGATGGACAGTGACTGTAATGGAGTATATGGTAGGGACTTAATAATAGGGGGCTGTAGTAACCACAATGTTGCTCATGTGAAATCTGAGCATAAGATTATCTATAAATGATAACTTAATTCAAAAAAAATAGAAGCCCAACCACAATACTAAAGAATAGCATCAAATAAGAAGAGATGGCTATAAGAGAGAAAGAAAGGAACAGAGAGGAGCTATAAAACAAGCAGAAAAAAATTAATAAAATGGCAATAAGTGCATACCTATCAATAATTACCTTAAATGTAAATGGACTGAATGCACTAATCAAAAGACACAGAGTGGCAGAACAGATAAAGCAACAAGATATCTATATGCTGTCTACAAACACAAAGACATACACAGACTAAAGTGAAGGGATGGAAGAAGATATTTCATGCAAACAATAGGGAGAAAAAAGTAGGAGTAGCAGTACTTATATCAGACAAAATAGATTTCAATACAAAGAAACAAGGAACAAAGAAGGACATTACATAATGATAAAGGGGTCAGTCCAACAAGAAGATATAACCATTATAAATATCTATGCACCCAACATAGGAGCACCTACATATGTAAAACAAATACTAACATAATTAAAGGGGGAAATAGATTACAACACCCTCATTTTAGGAGACTTTAACATATCACTCACATTAACAGATCAACCAGACAGAAAATAAACAGAGGCACTGAACAGTACATTAGACCAGATGGACTAACATATATCTACATAATACTCCACCCCAAAGCAGCAGGATACACATTTTTCTCAAGTGTACATGGAACGTTCTTCAGAATAGACACATATTAGATCACAAAAAGGGCCTCAAAAATTTTAAAAAGATTGAAATTGCATCAAGCAACTTCTCAGATCACAATGGTATGAAACTAGAAATAAATTACACAAATAAAACAAGCCTACAAACACAAAGAGGCTGAACAACATGATTCTAAATAATCAATTGATCAATGACCAAATTAGAAATCAAGTAATACACAGAGACAAATGAAAAAAAAAATACAACAGTCCTATATTTGTGGGACACTATAAAGGCTGTTCTAAGAGGGAAGTACATAGCAATACAGGCCTACCTCAAGAAATAAGAAAAATACCAAATAAACACTCTAAATTCACAATTAAATAAACTAGAAAAATAACAAATGAAACCCAAAGTCAGTAAAAGGAGGGACATAATAAAGATCATAGCAGAAATAAGTGATATAGGGAAGAATAAAGCAATAGAAAAAGTTAATAAAACTAAGAGCTGTTTCTTTGAGAAAAAAACAAAACAAAACAGATAAACCTCTAGCCAGACTTACCAAGAAAAAAAGAGAGAGTACACAAATAAACAAAACCAGAAATGAAGAAGTAATAGTCACAGTGGATACCACAGAAATACAAATAATTATTAGAGAATACTATGAAAAATTATATGCCAATAAACTGGACAATCTGGGTGAAATAGACAAATTCCTAGAAAAATACAACTTCCCAAGACTGAGCCAGGAAGAAACAGAAAATCTAAACAGATCAGTCACCAGCAATGAAGTCGAATTGATAATCAAAAAATCCCAACAAACAAAAGTCCAGGTACAGATGACTTCACAGCTGAATTACACCACACATTTAAAGGAGAGCTAATACCCATCCTTCTTAAAGTATTCCAAAAAGTAGAAGAGGAGGGAATAATTCCAAACTCATTCTATGAGACTAGCATCACTCTAATACCTGGCAAAGACACTACAAAAAAAGAAAACTATAGACCAATATCCCTGATGAACATCGGTGTAAAAATCCTCAACAAAATATTATAGCAAATTGAATTCAAAAATACATAAAAAGGATCATCCATCACAACCAAGTGTGATATATTCCAAGGATGCAAAGATGGCATAATATTTGTAAATCAATTAATATCATACAGCACATTAACAAAAAGAAGGATAAAAACCACATGATCATCTCAGTAGATGCTGAAAAAGCATTTGACAAAATTCAATACCCATTCATGATAAAAACTCTCAAAAAATGGATACAGACTGTATGTACCTCAACATAGTAAAGGCCATATATGACAAACACACAGCCAACATCATACTTAATGGTGAAAAGCTCAAAGTTTTCAGGAACAAGTCAAGGATGTCCACTCTCACCACTTTTATTCAACATAGTACTACAGGTCCTAGCCACAGCAATCAGAAAACCCAAAGAGATGAAAGGCATCTAGATTAGTAAGGAAGAGGTTAAACTGTCACTATTTGCAGATTACATGATATTATACTTAGAAAACCCTAAATACTCCACCAAAAAACTATTAGAACTAATAACTAGATTCAGAAAAGTTGTAGGAAACCAAAATTAATATGCAGAAATCTGTTGTGTTCCTATACACTAACAATGAACTAGCAGAAAGAGAAATCAGGAAAACAATTCCATTTATAATTGCATCAAAAAGAATAAAATACCTAAGAAATAACCTAACCAAGGAAGTGAGAGACCTTTACTCTTAAAACTGTAAGACACTCATGAGAGAAATTAAAGACCCAAAGGGAAATCTAGCCTGTGCTCATGGATAGGAAAAATTAATATTGTCAAAATAGCCATCCTGCCCAATTTAGATTCAATGCAATCCTTACCAAATTCCAACAGCATTTCTCAGTGAACTAGAACAGATAGCTCTAAAATTCATATGGGCCCACAAACAATCCTGAATAGCAAAAGCAATCCTGATAAAGAACAAAGCTGGGAAATTACACTGACTCCAAGCTATATTACAAAGCTACAGTAATCAAAACAGTATGGTACCGACACAAGAATAGACCCACAGATCAATGGAACAGAATACAGAGCCCAGATGTAAACCCACTCATATGTGGTCAATTAATATACAATAAAGGAGCCATGAATATACAGTGGGGAAAAGACAGCTTCTTCAATATCTGGTGTTGGGAAAACTGGACAGCAACATGCAAGAGAATGAAACTGGATTACTGCCTAACTCCATACACAAAAGTAAATTCAAAATGGATCAAAGACCTGAATATAAGACATGAAACCATAAAAATCTCAGAAGAAAACATAGGCAAAAATCTCTCAAACATAAATATGAGCAATTTTTTCCTGGACACATCTCCTCGGGAAAGGAAAACAAAATAAAAAATGAACAAATGGGACTACATTAAACTAAGAATCAAAGGACACCATCAGCAGAACAAACCGGCAACTTAGAGTATGGGAGAATATATATGTAAACAATTTAATGGATCAGGGATTAACATTCAAAATATATAGAGTTCCTATGCCTCAACACTAAAAAAACAAGTAACCTGATTTAAAAAATGGGCAGAGAGCCTGAACATTTCTCCAATGAAGAAATACAGATGGCCAAGAGGCAGATGGAAAGATGCTCCACATCGCTAATCATCAGGGAAATGCAAATCAAAACCACAATAAGATATCACTTCACACCAGTCAGAATGTCCGCTATCCAAAAGACAAGAAATTACAAGTGCTGGTGAGAATGTGGAGAAATGGGAGCCCTCCTACACTGTTGGTGGGAATGTCAATTGGTGCAGCTATTGTGGAAAGCAGTATGGAGGTTCCTCAAAAAACTAAAAATAGAAATACCATTTGACCCAGAAATCCCATTTCTAGGAATTTACCTGAAGAAAACAAAATCCCTGGTCTGAAAAGATGTATGCACCCCTATGTTTATTGCTACATTATTTACCATAGCCAAGATAGGGAAGTAAACTAAGTGTCCATGAATAGATGAATGGACAAAGATGATGTGGCAAATATATACAATGAAATATTATCCAGGCATAGAAAGAAAAGAAATCCTGCCATTTGTAACAACATGGATGAATCTAGAGGGTATTATGATCAGTGAAATAAGCCAGTTAGAGAAAGACATATACCATATGATTTCACCTATTTGTGGAATATAAAAACCAAGCAAAACAGAATGAACAAAGCAGCAGTGGACTCATAGACACCGAGAAGGGACTAGTGGTTACCATAGGGGAGGGGTTGGGATGGTGAGGGGGATAAAGGGTCACAAAAATTCTCAATCGTAATGTAGGTTGGTCATGGGGATAGTAGTACAGCACGGAGAATATAGCCAATGATTCTGTAACATCTTCCTTTGTTGACAGATAGTAGTAATCGGGGTGAGAAGTTAATAATATGGGTACCTGCTGAACCACTGTGTGGTCTACTTGAAACCAATATAAGATTGTATATAAAAAAAAATTTTTTTTTGCCCACTGGGAGGGGCTTCTGTAGGTGCTGAAGCTTCCTGGCACACTGGTCAGCCTGTTGTTGCCCCCTTAGGAAAGTTTGCCAGGAACAGAGTGTCTCCACTACCTTGACCCACAAATGTGGCCAGAAGACCGCTTAGTTATTGTCAGGAGTTGTTAACAAGGACTTTTTCTTGTGTTATTTTGTTCTCCAGAATTCCCTTCTCCACGTTTGGAGTCAAAAATGAATGCAGTCATGAAGGGTCAAAATGTATCTCTAATTTGTTCCAACCACAACAAATCACCACAGATCACCTATTCTTTGTTTCGGCATATGAAACACCTGGAAACCCGGGAGGGAAAAGGTGAACCCATTATTTTTAACCTAAGTATCTCAGAAGCCTATGATTTGGGCCCCTACAAATGCAAAACCCAAGTTTCTAACTGTTCAACATACAGTCGCGAGTTCAGCTTCACATTTATTGGTAAGTAGAGCACTTGTTACTCGGGGGCCCCAGCATTTATGGGATTCTTCTATGATAAGGCTCTCCATTCCCTTTGTAAACATTCACTTAAGAGCCTGCAGGATAAGTCACTGAGATCTTTATTCTTGGTAATTACATTTCACTTTCTCTTCCAAAGACTTTGGCTAGTTCAGATAATAATAATAATTGCTGTAGACAAAAAGCCTTATATGAACAATTTGGAAAATTGTTGAGATCTTTTTTAGAGGCATTACTCTAGGAGTCTCATACATAGGCAAAAATGACTTTTTCTCTGAAGATCCAAGTAAGAAGTCTTACGACCATTGTTGGACCCTACAAAAGCCTCAGGCCTTCCCCACTTTATCCCCTTTGCAGTGACCACCCATCAGGTACCCCACTGGCCAGCAGTCTTCCTGTCCAATCACATCTTATTACTTCTATGTTTTTCTCTTCCATCTCCCCACTCCAAACCTCTCACAACCTAGCATTTATAGCTTTATCTAGGAAGGTGACCTTGATAATGGCCTCCTGGGAGAAGGTGATAGGGTTTTAATGCATGTACACTGTACCTGGAGTCTTCTAAACATAAGAACCCCAACATACTGATAAAATTTTTGAGTGATTCTCTAGGTCTATGCTCTCCAGTATGATAGCCATTAGCTCCACATGCTTGTTTAATTAAAATTAGATGAAATTTAAAAATTCAGCCCCTCAGTCTCATTAGTCAATGAGGGTTCAGTGACCCACAGGTGGTTGGTGGCTACTGTATTAGAGAATGCAAGCATAGAACATTTCCATTACACCTCTGCTCTAGGTCCATGGTACTTAGCTTTTTAGGTTTTAATCATCTTAACAATCAAATGATAGCAGTAGATACCTTTCCAGAGAAGTGCTCATGAAACTACAGATGCAAATTTCTGCATAAGCCTTTAGGGGATCCAGGTTAGAAACAACCATCTTAGGACAATTCTGAACACAAACTCAACAGAAGCCATAATTGTAAAAGAAATGTGAAGAAGGGGGAACCCCTGCAAACATGGTGGACAATGTGAGGGCAGTACGCTAACTGATAATATTCTCTGGTGGTCAGAGTCCTCCTGGCTGGGGCAGCTTGGTATTGCAGAAAGAGTAATGGAAATGAGCATCAGAAAATGTGTGCCACTAGCTTCCTGTGCAACTTGTATATTCCATTTGGATATACCTTAGATAACCTCTAGTCCTTGATTATTAAAATATGCATTGAGAAGATAGGCAGTACAACCCTAACATTCTTGGCTGAGAATCTCAGTCCACAGTGGGTGTAATGGGTGAAGAGGGTAGGCAATTACTTGGCCAAGGAAGGCACTTTCAAATCACTGAGGTTCAGTGTGAGAAAAGATGGCAGGTCCATTGGTGTAGGTTTCCTGTATTTGAATAATTCTCCCATTGGTGTGGGTTTTCCTGTATTTGAATAATAGGAGCCCACACTCCTGCAAAGAACAAGCCCAGTCTTAGGTGGGTTATGAACTTGAGGGCTGACACCTTAAATCAGCTGATTAACAAACCCCAAGTCTTCATTTCCTGAGCTTCTGTCCCACAGGTATGAACAAAAGCCTCCCACATCTGCCTTCTGAGAACATACACAAGTTTCCCACAATTTCTTGTAGTAATTACATTGTCCTGTAGAGCTGTTCTGATAGATTATAAAACTGCATCATCTTCCTTTAGGCCAGAGTAATAGGCATCTATTGAGAGCCTAGCCTGTGCAAATGGTTTTATTGGGTGCTGCTGAGGTTGTGATGACGAGACATGATCTTGTCCACAACCCAGTGAGGGGGATGAGCCATGAACAGAGATGCATTAGTCACTGATTCCCTCACTCATCACATACGTGTCAGCATCCCAGATAAGCCAAGCCCTGGATGTGCATCAGTTCCTGCCCTGGCAGACTTTACACTCTAGCCGGGAACACACAAAACCCAAGTACCCAAACAAATAAAACCATAATCACAAACTGTGTTAATTTGTTATAAAGAAAAAGAAACCAGCACAGTGATGGAAAGAAGCAGGGGATGGGGAAGGGATCTACTTAGGTAGGTAGTTAGGGGAGGCCTTTCAAAGGGATGACTTTTAAGTACAGAGCCCTGAAGGATGAAAGGAGTCTGGCAAGACAGGGAAAGAGGCTCTAGTCAAAGGGCGATAGCCTGTGCAGGGCTCCAAACAGGGAAAGAGCTTGGATGGTTGGGAAGGATCTAATGGGAGGATGGTATGGCTGCAGGCCAGATGAGGGAGGGTAACCCCAGGTGAGAGTAGAGGGGGGCGGCACCAAGTCCGGCAGGGCCTATGATGCAATTGATCATCTTCAAAGTTAATTCATTCTAGGTGGGACAGGACAAGAGTACAGTTGGGGATTAGTTGGGAGGCTCTTACAGTCATCCAGGAGACAAACAGCGGTGGGGATGGACAGAAGTGGATGGATTCAAAATATACTGTGGAGGAAGAAACAACAGGACTTATTAGATGATTAGATTTGGAACCACAGGTAGTGAAGGTGAGGAAGGAATCAAGAATGACGTCCAGATACCAACACGATCAGCTGATGAGGAGCGGTACCGCTTACTGAGAGCGGGAAATGGAGGAATGGGGAGTTATTCATTAGGTAAAAAGTTTAATTATGCAAGATGAATAAGTTCTAGAGATCTTGCTCTACAACACTGTGATACTGTGATGTCCTTTACCAGTCCTTCTACAAACTTTCGAGTAAGTATACATCTTTCCGGTCACTTTTGATAGCAATGATTGGCCAAGACTGAATCATCCCATCTCAGAGAGGAGTCCATGCTCTCTGCTTCTTCGTGAATGTTTCAGCTCCTCCTTCCTGTCAGCCGATCTCAGTCCATAGGAAGAACGTCCTGTTGGTGCCATTCCCAATGATGTGATGAGGCCACTCTCACTGGGCGCCACTCTGGCCAGGATGCAGCCCCAGGGATTCCTGCTCAGGGAAGGGGCAGAGCAAGGAGACTCAATGACTTCCCTTGATTTTGCTTATACTTTGGTCCCTGTAATCTCATTGTTTCTGTGCCAAATTGATATGGTTAAAAGAAAAAAAAGGCATCTGCTTGGGACTTGGCCCTGGCTCTGCCATTTACTGACTGTGCAACCTTGGGCAAACTTCTCCATCTGTCTGAATGGCAGCTGGCTCATCTGTGGAATGGTGTGATGCTCTTCACCTTGCAGTGCTGTTGTGAAGTCAAATGAGATACTGTGGTAGTGAGCCTGGCAAATGATGGATACTGAACAACTATCCTCTCCTGTACTACTGTTTTTACTAATAAACTTTATAATAAGTCATATAGCTGGATTCCCCTCAAAATAGGGTATGACAAAAGGGGTATGACAGCCTCCCAGACCCACACATTTCCTGTTGAGTTCTTTTGAATCTACTTATCAGGGTTACTTCTTGCTTTTAGGAGGAAGTGGAAGATCATTGTACAGCTAAGTTCTATAAATGAAAATACAGTTAGAAAAGATATTTTTAGATTTCTTTGATTAAAAAAAAAACTAACCTTCTAAGAAATGGGAATAAAAGAACCTCTCAACCACATACTTGGAACTGGATCTTTGGCAAAGTATACCTATTATCAACAATAGATTGTGAATTCTGATGAAAGGCTAGCTTGCCCTCTGATTCCTCAAAGCAGAGAGGTGCCCTCCTCTCTCTGCCTTTCTCAGCATCTGGCTCATGTCACACTGCATGGGGTTTGCATACCCACTGGCCTTTCCCACTAGGCTGCGAGCTTCTTGGCTTCTCGAGAAGGGTGTCATTCACCTTTGGGTCCACAGATGGGAATAGAGCAGGGATTCAATCCAAGTGTGTAGACTAAGTGAACCCACTCTGCTAATCCCTTAACACTTTCCTTTTTCTAGACCCAGTGACCACACCAGTGCTGAGCATTAATGTCGTGCAAGTACAAACAGATCGAAATATAACACTACGTTGCATCTCATTTAATGGTTCTCTGCCCATCGATTATACTTTCTTTGAAAAAGACATTGCCGTATCACCAGCTATTTCCAAGTCTGTAAGGGAGCCTGCTGAATTTCACCTAACCAAGAAGGACACTGGAAAAGGGGAAGAATATAGGTGTAAAGCTAAAAACAGATTGCTTGGCCATGCAAAATACAGTCAACCATGCTTCACCACACCCTCAACAGGTAAGGGCTACTTGACCTCTTTCAATAGGGTCTGGATGTGCTTCCAGAAACTGCAACTACTCCTCTGCCCACCCACTTCCCACTTTGGCCACCTGCTTCCAAATACCTTTCTTTTGGTAGGGTTCACATAAACTCTGAAGGGGTGGCTTCTGCCACATTAAAACATAGAAAGGCCTAGAAGCTGGGGCAGGTAGTGAGACTTCCTGACCTGACCTTCCACTGACCAGGTTCCAAGCAACCACATTAGAATTGGGATGTCTCTTGGAGTTACTGGGTCTCTTGATTTTCTTTTGTTCTTTCATTGACCTCTAACATCCGTGCCCACCCACTTGGCTGTTTGTTGACCCACGGCTAATGTTTGATGAGTCTAGACTTCCAGTACTACCCTTAGCTTGGGATGAGAAGGGTCCCTGTCCCAGTCCTGGGTTTTGGAGGGTGCTGCTCTTGGCCATGCACTTTCCCATAGGCTGAGGAGTCTGGGGGATGTGGGAATGTGCCTACCTGGACCCTATACCTCACTTTTCTATATCACACTCTGGATCTCTACCACAACTAGACCCAAATTCCCCAACCAATCAGATCGGAACCCACCTTCCTCAGATCACACAAGCCTCTTTCCCAGTTCATACTCCCAAGGGTAGACCACAGTGTGGATATGGACGTTCCTGAACCAAACCAAGGGAGCTGTTTGTAGGGTGTGGGTGGCACTTTAATGTGCAGGTTGGGGGTCCACATGGATACAAGGCCCCCAGGGTGCAGTGAGAGCCTGAGTGGGAAGGGGCTGGGCTGGGGCCAGGGTCGGCTCTCCCAGCACTGCCATGGTCTGGCACAGAACTCCGAGGAATCTGAGAACTCTAGATTCAAACCTGGCCTCCCAGGTCCTTATGAAGGGACATTTGTTGAGTTGGGAGGAAGTCAGAATGAAGTAGCTTAGCAAAGGCAACAGGCATGCTTGGGCATTGAACCCTTCACCTGGCTTCATCCTCAGAGCCCACACCCTGGTGTTCAGGAAATTCTAACAAGTGAGGTACCTTGTCAGAGTCAGGCCCCAGAATCAGGCTCCAGAGTCAGGCTTTTGCTTACAAATCACAGCCCTTCCATTTACTAGCTGTGTGACCTTAGGAAAATCACTTAACTACTCTGGGCCCTACTTTAGTCATTTGTGAAATGAGAATAATACCAATAAGATAAATGAGGCCACACATATAAAGTGCTTAACACAGTGTCTGGCAGGTAGTTAATAATAAATAGTAGCTGTCTGGGTGACATAAATCATGCCAACATGACTAAGGGCCCAGTAAATAGCCAGGCCATTCTGAGGCTTCTGAGCCTAGTGATGTTGCCAGGAATCAGTCTGTTAGGTGTTGTGCTGCTTCTCTTTTCCTTGTATGACCCCTTGTGGAAGATGTACTTGGTCATGACTTTAAGATCACCGACTAACAAATTAACTCTCAAGAGTTGCAGGTGTCTACAGCAGTACAGGGCCGGGATGAACAGTATACTGGTTAACTGGGGAGGGTTGTGACTGTTCTTGCCAGAACATTCACAGCTCGGTGTCATTGGAAAAGAAGGCTGCGTGGTGACCGGTGAATGCTTCTTCTTGCAGGCAGAGACAGCTGTCCTTTCTGCCTGCAGCTACTGCTTCCAGGGTTATTACTGGTGCTAATAGTAATGATCCTAATTCTGGCACTGTGGATACTACCTAAGTATAAAGCAAGTAAGTTGTTGAGGAGCTTTTCCATTGTTTTCCATAGGTTTTGGACATAAGACGGCAGGGGAGATGGTGAGAAAGAAGGGAAAGGGTAATCAGAAACAGGATGTGAGTAAAATGGAAAGGGAGGAGATGGGAAAGGGCAAGATAAATGAAATAGGCTTCCTGTGTTGGCCCCGAGTGGGAGAGCTCGCCCTGCGGGGGTGAAGCCTTCCTTACTCAGATTGCTCCTGGGACATGCCTGTGCTCACATAGGCCCCGTGCTAAGGGCCCCGCATGCCTGGGTAATGCTCTGCTGTCACTGTCTTGAAATTCTTAGTAATTTTTTTACTCTCTTTAAAATTGTTTTTTTAATTGCGATAAAGTACACTTAACAATAAAATTGACCATTTTAACCACTGTCAAGTACATAGTTCAGCAGCATCAGGAACATTCTCATTACTGTGCATCGGTCACTGCCATCCACCCACAGGACTTTTCTCATCTTGCAAAACTGGAACTCTGCGCCCATTAAACACCAACTCCCCGTTCATTTCCCTCTCCCTCAACCTCTGGCAACCACCCTTCTACTTTCTATGAATTTGATTACTCTGGGACCTCATATAAATAGAATCATACAGAATTTATCCTTTTGTAACTGGCTTCTTCACTGGGTATAATGTCTTCAAGGTCCATTCATGTTGCGCATTCATCAGAATTTCCTTTTTAAAGCTAAAGAATACTCCATTATAGATAGATACATAGGTATACACACTTTGTTTACCCATTCATCGGCCAGTGGAACCTTGGGTTGCTTCTACCGTTTTTTGCTTTTGTGAGTAAACAAGTCTAGGCCCTGCATTTTTGCTTTGCACTGGGTCCTGCAAATGATGTAGTGGATCCTGATTGCCAGCTCTGTAAAACCAAGAGCTTTGCCAAGTATTTTTCAGCATCCTCACTGGCCTGTCACTCAGGAAGCTCAGTACATGAAGACAAATGGGCATCATTTCTCCTCGCCCCAGCTTACGTGCTACATCACACCCCAGCTACTGCTTGTCACCCTTCACCTTTTAGGACCACCTGTAGTTAAGATTTCAACATGGCCTTTTCACTTGGCACACAAGAATGGAGGGATACCAAGATGTGCACAAAAGACAGTTACCAGCACTTACCAGAGAGCTGAGGGGGACTGGGCAGGCACCTTCACTTGCCAGGGCCTCAGTGTTCTGACCTATATAATGGGGCCATGGGAGGTACTGCACAACTGGAGAAAGAACTAAGTAATAAATGTTAGGCTCCTATGCTTCCCTCCATCTCTAGAGAGTTATAATTCAGAGAAGTCAGGGACTCCGTTGACACAAAACTTGAAATAGATGTCAGCATTTATACATCTTACACGTTTTTAAACGCAAGTCTCCACTTCCTCCAAAAACCCAGGGTCTTGAAAAAGTGGAATTAGTATTTTTGATTACTGGCCAGAGCCAAAGAGAACTCAGCCAGGTAATTTACTATTGCTTGCAGATATTACAAAGCTTTTTACAGACTGTACTTTTCAGCAAAGGAAATAAAATGTGTGTCTGACCATCTAAAGCATAATTTGCTAGGCAAAAAATGTTACTCACAGAGCCAGGAAAATAAATCAGAAGAGATTTTGGCTTGGAGAAGCAGGTGCTATGGACTCCTGGCTGAGTCCAGGGTTTTCCTACATTAGATAAAGTTTGTTTCAGAACTTTGGGGGATTCTGCTCCTTGGCAGAGGAGATAAGAAAAATGTGGCTGAAGTGGTTTAATTTAATGACTCTGCACCAATTTATATAGGAAAAACCATGAGAGATAAGGTACCCAAAGACTATGGAAACATGCCCATGGAAGTTGGAATATATGCAAATGCCTGTGCAAATCAAGCAGGTAAGGGAACTATGTTGGGTATTTTGATTGGTTGGTTTTATGTTTTTGTCTTTTCTTATTTTTTTGCAGTCATACAGACACATGGGTAAAAAAGCAAAGAAAAAGGAATAGAGTATAGTGTCTCCCTCCCACCCCTGATGCCCAGTCCCACTTCCCAGGGGGCAGCAACCAGTTTTTTAAATCCTCCCTCAGATATTCTTTGCATACATTAGCACATAAACAAATGAGAGCAAGGGCAGCATATCGCAGGTACACCACTATAGACTTTTTTTTCCCTTAACAATGTATCTTGGAGATTTTTTTTATATCCGTTCAGAATAAACTGCACTGTGTTCCAAAACCTTTTATGATCACCTCTTAAAGCAGGCATCCTTTGCTGCTTTACGGTAAGCCGACCCAGGGCCTTGGCCAGCAAGAACAATCCTGGCCAGCACTGACTGAGCACCAGCCACATTTCAGCAATTCACCCGCCCTGTCTAATGAACACCACTGACTCCCAGTTTAACATCGTTCCTGTTTTACAGAGGAGGAATCTGTGCCAGGCTTGGAACCAAGGCAGTGGGTTTCCACAACCCAAGACGGTAAGTGCCCTCTGCAAAGTCCAGAGGCCACATGCCATTGTGAGGGTGGCTGGCTAAGCCACTCCCCTCAAGTGCTCAGAGATTCAGATTACAGGCCCAATAATTGTTCCTTGTCTTTTACCCAGGAGCTGGACACTCTCAGGAGATACATTATGCCACCCCCATGTTCCAGCAGGTGGCACCAGGAGATCATGGTAAGCTACAGTTTAGGATGAGAGATAATATCAAAATGAGACAGTGGTTCCTGTGAAGCCACCATACTCCAAGGCTTTAGGATCCCAAGGATGGGGTGATGGGGCCACATGCACACCCCAGGAAACCAAGTACCACAGCTCCTAACAGATGGGTGGGTGTGGAGGAGGGAAGGTTGTGACAGGGGAAGAATTACACGAAAGGTCCACAGGGGAGGATGCAGGGGCACTTCTAAACCATTTTCAAGAATAAATTATTTGATGTAGTCCAGGATAAAACAGTTTTGCTTGGTTTTGTCAGGCCATCCAGCTACTAAAATAGGTTTAAGGAAAATCTATGATCATATATCCTAAATTCACTGAATTATTTTCTCTTTTGTATTTCAGGAGCCTGTAATGATTATAAAACTGGATATGTCTATTCTGAACTCATCTTCTGAAATGTAAAGATACAAATTACATCTCAGGGTAAGATGCTTTTTTTAAAGCTGATTTATGTGAAAAAAGGCAAACTTGATTGACACTTAAAAATGTGTTGCTTGGTTACCTGAAGTGAATCACTGTTTTGCATGATTAAACACTATTCCTTTGACTCACTTGGGCACATCCAATCCTGTCATCAGACAAGTTTTGTCAGGTGGGATACTGACAGGTGACAGTTTTTAAATGCATCAGCTCTTTTTAGGCATGGACCACTCTCCCCATTTCTATACCATTTAAAACTGAATAATTGTTAGACCATTGTGCTCTTCATAAGTGCATCCTGGAAGCATTACAATGATCACCTTTCTGGTTTCCCCATCCTCTGCCCGTTGAAAGTTCAAAAGCAAAACACAAAGCAATAACCACGTCTAAATTCTAAAGCAAAAATTGGTGACAATGGAAAATGTCTCTGAAGAGTAAGTACCTGCAGTCACCACGAGAGGAAGGCAAGTTTACTGAGCAAGTACACATTTAATTATTCAATACCATTTAAATTCGCTCTCCACTTTTGGGAGGCTGCAATCAATATTTATATTGGTTTTCATGGACTTTCTCAGTCCTCAAGATTTAGCTAATGTCATGATTTCCTACCAGCATTTTGCAGTGACAACAGTATTCTGGGGGAGAAGGGAGAATGGATTTTTTCCCTAGGGCTGTGTAACAAATTACCACTGGCAGCTTAAAACAACAGAAATTCATTTTCTCACAGTTCTGGAGGCCAGAAATCCAAACTCAAGGTGTCAGCTCTCTCCAAAGGCTGCAGGGGAAGATCCTTCTTTGCCTCTTCCAGCTTCTGGTGTTTCTTGGTTTGTGGCAGCATCTTTCCAACCTCTGCCTCTGTCTTCCCATCTGGCCTTATCTCCCTCTGCCTTTCTCTCTCCAGGAACATGGGTCATTGGACTTAGAAACCACCCAGATAATCCAGGATAGCCTCACCTTGAGATCCCTAACTTCATTACATCTGCAAAGACCCTATTTCAAAATAAGGTGACATTCACAGGTCCCAGGAGTTACACATTTTGGGGAGCCACCATCCAGCCCACCACAGGGGATGCAATGATTCTGGGTTGAACCTCATCCTAGGAGTTGTAAGTGAAGTCCAGTAAAAAACCAAGAGCCATTTCTAGGGTTCCAGACAAACAAAACAACTTGATTAAAATTTTTCTGCTTCACTTTTTCTTTGGGGTTTGCTTGACCCTCAGTCTCAATTGTTCTCAACAATGGACCCCTGACTAGAAAAATATCTACCAGCTGTTAGACAATAATTCTGCATAACATCCTACAAGGCCAATACTATTGCTTGATAGATAAAGAGACTTAGCCTCAGATGGGATAGTTACACAAGGTCAGCCACAGCTTGGTTAAGTGGTTGAACTGGGAATTAAATCTGCAAATAACAGCAGAAGTACTGGCCACGGGAATGCCTGTTCAAGTGGGAGGGGATGCTGTACACACAGGCGAATTTGAGGGTTTTGTAGCCATAAAGCAGCATTCATGAGCATGATTTCCCCCTTTATTTTTATTTGGAGGAAATCAGTAGATCCAGAGAGTGGAGGCTGTGGAGTAGACAAACCGAGCTAAACCCAGGCTCAGTCACATGCTGTGTGACTCTGGGAAACTTAACCTCTCTGGGCTTCAGCTTCATTAGGTGGTGGGTGGGAGGGGGAGGGAAAATACCCACATCATGGAGCTGCTGATGAGAATTAACTCAGGTAATATATGTAAAGAGCTTGGAACAGGGCCAGGTATCTCATAAGGACTCAAAAAAGGCTAGCTATTTGTAGTATGATCTTACTCTGAGACATAGTAATTGACTGCTCCCCTTAGAATCCTTTTAAGTCTTTGAGGTCGCAAACTTGGTGACTTGGCCACCACCGGCTTCTTCTTCGGTCTTAATCTGAGCTCCCTCCTGAAGACAAAGACTTGGGCGCAGGCACTTCATATGCGAGGTGATCCCAGGGAGGAGGGAGGGACCAGAGAGCATGAAACGGAAGCAGCAGCCAACACAATGCGTGCGGAGGGGCCAGCAACTCAGCAAACACAGCAGACACTGGATTTGATTCTAATGCCCTCCGAAGCCAGAGTGCTTCTGGTCTCACAGCATACCCTCAGTCAGCCGTGTCTCATTTTCTCCTTGCAAAGCATCTAAAGTAGTTAGTAGAAGCCAACCAACGCCACAGTTCATATAACTACCAGTGTCCCATGCCTTTCCAGTGTTACAACTACTGCAAAACATGGTGCTTCACTTTCTACCTCTTGCTCCTTCCCCACTGTCGGAGAAAGTCTTAGGAGTTGCGAAGCTGTGGCAGGTAAGGGTGACCACCACCCTCCTTACCGCCATCAGCAGAGTCCTTGTTGCCATCCATCCAGGCAGTACTTCCACTTTACAGGGCTGCTTCCTAGGGCCTTCTGCTTTATCATAGGCTAGCCCAGAAAGCAGAGACTGAGATAAGGCTTTTCTGTGCAAATAATTTATTTGGGAGGTGACCCATGGGAAGAGCACAAGGGACTGGAGAAAAGCCAGTATGAGGGTGTTTGTTGAGTTGGGCACTACTGCAGGCAACTGGGGCTGGATCCCACTGGAACCTTCTGGGGAGTGAAGATGTCTCTCAGAATTGTCCACTTGAGGACCGATAGTGAGAAGCGTTTACCCACTGGTTCCATCCCCCACTGGCTGAGGGTTGCCGCAGGTGACACCTGCCCCACTTCTAGGCTGTGCACATGGGTGTTTCAGGCGGGCTTCCATTGGTGTCTCATCTAGGGCACAGGAAGCCCCAAGGCAGAAAATAAATGCTTGTGTTTTACACTTGAAGCAAGAAGCTGTGGACACAAAGTGAGTAAAGCCTCCGATGCGGTTGGAATCATTGGTGAGGTCCCTATGTGACTCAGGATACAGAGGCAGCCCGTGCCCCGTCTCCCACCCTCTCCTTTGTAACAGCTATAGTAGTGACAACAGTAGGAACAGGAGCACATGCCAGCTTCCTGCTTCTATCAGTGCTTTGGGTGTCGGTCCCCCACTGCTCCACCTCACCCTGCAGGCTTTCAGCCCCACCCAACGGCTCTGGACTGAGTGGTTTAGGAAGGGAAGGCGCAAAGGAAGAGGACCTACTGACTTTGTTTCAACAGCTACATTTTTTCATGTCTAGAAGTTTCACTTTGGTTCTTCAAATTCACATATTCTTTAAAATTTCTTACTATGAAATAGAACACACATGATATGAAAATACATACATATGTGTACAGTCTAGTAAGTTGTATCATGTGAACACTAGCGAGGGAATGGTGCCAGCGGCCAAGCCCTCTGCACCCTCTTCCCGCCACAGCTCCGCCTCCCCCATCTAACTACTCGCTACAGGAAATCACTTCTTTGCTTTTCTTTAGGGTTTCACCACCTAAGTATGCATTCCTAAACACCATCTTTAGATTGCCTCTTTTGAATTTAATATGAATGGAAACATACAGCATTTATTCTTGTGTCTGGCTTTTTTTGCTCAACAGTGTATTTGTGAGATTTATTCATGTTGCTGCATGTAGTTGCAATTATTTATTCCATTACTAAATTTATCTGTTCTGCAGCTGACAGACATCGGTGTCATTGTTGGTTTGGGACTATTATAAATAAGGCGGCTATGACCAGTCTTATGTGACAAACATGCTTATGTTCCCACGTGCTTTCAATCATGTAGAATATATGTAAGAATAGAATTACCGGGCCACCGGAGGATGTTCAGCTCCAACAAAGTGGACAATGTCGTTTCCAAAGTGGTTCTACCGCCGATTCACACCCCAAGCAGCGGGAAAGCTGATTCCCCCACATCTTCAGTTTTCACGTAACCATTCTTGCAGGTATACACTACCTCACTGCAATTTTAATTTGCCCTACCCTATGACTAATAAGGTTGAGCCCCTTTTCCTACATTTATAGGTCATTTGGATTTCTTCTTTGATGAAGTACCTGTTTGTGGTTCTTAGCCTGTTTTTCTACTGGTTTTTCTGACTTTTTATTCTTTAATAGTTGTTCTCCTACTCTGTGGTTTCATTTTTCATTGTTAATGGAGCCTTTTGATGAAAAGTTTTAAGAACTTATTTTGTCTAAATTAAGAACTTAATTTCGTTTATGGTGTTTTGTATGTCTCCATATAAAGAAATATTTTCTCAACTTGAACTCATATGTATGAGTATCACCCTATATTACTAACTGCTGAAGACATTTTTGGTATACTTTCACATTTCAGCTCACATCCACCTGAGATTGTTTCTGCTGTGTTATAAAATTGACACCACTTTCTCTGCCCCGCACAGGTCCACGCGGCTGCTCCAGCAGCACCTGCTGAAATGACTGTCCTTCCCTCCCTGCACTGCAGCAGCATCTCTGCCACAAATCCCATGTTCATATGCCTGTGGGCTTCCTTCTGGGCTTTGGATACTATTTCATTGTCCCACTTACCTCTCCTGTGTCAATAACATTCTCAGGTTTTAAAGAAGTCTTGACAACTGAAAGAGCAAAATTTCCCACCTTGTTCTTTTCAAGAATGTCTTAGCCATTTTTGACCTTCTGCAGTTCCACATACATCTTAGTGTCAGCTCATTATTCTCTTAAAGAAAAACAACTGAAGATAGGGATTTTGAGTGATATTTCATTGAATATCTAGAACAACTTGGAGAGTATTAATGCAAAAGTGAGTCTTCCAAACTACAACTATCTTAACATTTACTTATGTCTTCTTCAGTTCTCTCAACTGTGTTTTATCCTTTCTGCATAAACATCTTGCACATCATTTGTTAGACTTATTCCTAAGTGCTTAATATTTTGATGCTATTTATCCTTTCTGCATAAACATCTTGCACATCATTTGTTAGACTTATTCCTAAGTGCTTAATATTTTGATGCTATGGTAAGTCATATTTTTATTTTGCGTTGTTGATATATAGAAACACAATCAATATTTTTTTGTTTTACTTTGTCCAGCAACCTTGCTAAACTGTTTTTTCAACTTCAATAACTTACCTACAGATTTTCTTACAATCTGGAGGCCAGAGAACTCCTTGTAGTACTGTTGTTACAGATGCTGCTTCTGCCACAACTACTTCATGCCCAGAAAATGGAGCCCAGACAGTGGAGTGTGGAGCTTTGCCACTGCAGACGCTTGCTTCTCAGCAACAACTGCCGCCTCTTCTACTTTCCAGATCCTGTGCATAGGCATCTGACTGGTGGAAGATATTGATAGCCTGGCAGCAAGGGAACTGTAATTAGGTTTCTGACCCCAGCAAATGGAAGGAGGGTTACAATGTGGTGTAAGAGAGCCAATCAGAATGTCGACCACACAGGCCAAAGTATCAGTATCAAGGGTCAAATAAACATGTTTTAAGACAATGACTGAGAAGGAGATTTTTCTAATCACGTTCTTCACTGAAAGAGCTATATGATGTACGTGGTGAAGAATGAAACAATACAGGGAAAGGGTGTAGGAATCAAGAAGTATATGACTAAATATAAGCAAGAGAGAGAGGGAGAAAGGGAAAAAGGAGGGAGGAAGTGAGGAGAGAGGTGTACAACATATAACAATGTATAAGGTTTCCATGATTTGAAAGTGTGGTATTGGTATATGGCTGGACAAGTAGAAAAACTGAACAGGACAGGAAGTCCAGATACAGATCTAACTGAATACACATGGAAATTTAGTATATGAAAAAAATGGCAGTTTAAATCAGTAGGGAAAAGATGGATCATTCAGTATATTGTGAAAACTTGAAAACCACATTTAAAAAGTTGGACCCCCTACTTCATTCTTTGCCAAAATAAATTAGATAGATCAAATATTAAAATACCTAAAAATGAAGCCACAGAGGTGCTAAAGAATACAGGAAGAATTTAAGAAGGGCAGGCTTTTCTAGGTATGACTCAAAATTCAGAAGACATAAAGGATTGTTAAATTTAATTAGATGAAACATTTTAAAATTACATTTTGACATCATAAACTAACTCAAGAGAATAACTATGGGAAAATATTTTGAACCCATCTCAGGGAAAATATAAAGTTCCATAATATATAATGAGCTCTTACAAATCACTAAGAAAAAGACCAACAATCCAATAGAAAACTGGGAAAAGATGGTAGCTGAAGTGTAATACCAGGGCAGCACAAAGACCTTGCTGGGATGAAGAGTTGCCAACAGCTGTCCCTTCTACTCCCAGGGCTGATGGAATACAACCTAATTCTCTCAATGTTGCCTTTCCTGAAGGGTGAAAAGAGGAGACATCTAGAGGAATGATCGACAGTGGTTTTGTGATGCCTGAAGCATATTGTTTCCCTTTCTCCTTTCTACCCTGGAGGACATGGACTATGCCTTCAACCCTTCCCCAACACACACAACCAGAGATAGTAACTGAGATCTCCAGTAGCATATAAACTTACAGGTTAGAAAAATTAGACACCTAAGGATTACAAAGCGCTTCCAAGCATGTTCCCGTGGCCCCTCAGATATCCCACGAGGAAGGGTTAGAGCAGGACAAAGAGTGGAGGCTCCTCTTGCCAGGTCTAAGAAGGGTATTGCTAATACCTTCTTGTCCTGGCCACCATCTCCTGGGCCACTGTCAGAGCCCCTTAACAGGTCTCCCTGCTTCCCTTCTGCACCTCTACACTTCATTCTCCGCAGTTGATCTTTTCAAAATAACAGTATATCCCCTCTCTGCTTAAACCAGCCCCTCCTTCCCCAGTGGCTTCCAGATTCGTTACTACAGCCCCTATGGCTCTAAGTGATGTGAGCCCTGACCACATCTTCTACCTGCCTCCCCTTAGCACCCTCTGTCTGGCTTTCTATTCTTTGACAACTTGTCTTTTCTCTCCTAAGGGCCTTGGCATTTGCTGGTCTCTCTTCCCCGGAAGTGTTGCCCCAGATCTTCTCATGTCCAATTCCATATCATTCAATCTCAGTTCAATGATCATGTCCTCAGAACTTCCCTGACTACCTGTGTACAGCACACGACCCATGATCTAACCCATCATCCTGCTCCATTTCCTTTACAACATTATCTGAAATTACCTGAAATTGTCTATGTGCCTACCTGCTATGGTCTGCCCCACCTGCCCCTCCCCGAGAAGGACCTGGTCTGTTTTGTTCACCACTACATCCCCAGCACCTAGCGTCCCTGGGATTTAGGTGCTCAAAAGCTTTTGTGAATCAATAAAATGCATGAGTGAATATATGACACATATAATGACAGGCCAGTCTTCAGGAGAAGCATACCTATCACATATTTAAATTTGAGAGAAATTTCTCTCATCCCTCCTCCCAGGAAGATGTGGTATGACATAGCAAACAAATGCCTTCAAGAACATTCTTATGGCTAAATCAACAATGAGGTTCATAGAATAATTTCTAATAACATCTTTCCAAATATATTGGTGTGACAGAATACCTAAGAAGGGTACATGTTAAGAAATTTTTTAAAAGCAATTGAGATGGAGAGAAGTTCTGTCAAAACAGTACCATCCTCAAGTCATTATATTGTACACTTGAAACCAATATAATATTGCATATCAACTATACTTCAATTAAAAAATACATATAAAAAACCAATACCATCCATGTATGCAGCTCTCTGATAAATTTAACAGTGGTTACTGAGGTGAACAGAAACTACCTGTACAATTTAAAAAATAAACTTGCATGGAACCCAGCACCAGAGATTTAGTAGGTCTGTCTAGGATAAGGCTCAAATATATTTATTTTTAAAAAGCTCCACAGGAGATTCTGATGTCTAAACCCAGCTGGACACCTCTGATCTGAATAATCTTCACAAACATCACTTACCTTGACTGCAGTATAAGCATTCTATGTTGCAGTTAGTGTAGATGCCTTAACAGTCAGCTGATCTGAAACCAGGAATACAATCCTCCGGTCAAAGTACCTGTGGGCAGGACTGAGATATTCTGCAGAAAAATAATTTTTAAATTCTTAGATTCTCACAGTTATATTAAAGCTAAGTACTGAACCCAAAACTGCAAAAATTAAATTTCAACTTTTAAGTAGACATATGGTGGTAATATTGGTATTGCAATTCTGAGACTGCCGGGATTAATGTGAGATAAAGAAAATGAGCACTTGTGTGGCAGGGCATTCTAATTTTATCACCCTCCTTCTTAAGAATTGGGATTTGGGCATGGGAGGAGATACAGATGTATGACAGATGATGTCAAGTAAAAACCTTGCAGGCGGAGCACGATGGCGGCATGAGTAGGACAGTGGGAATCTCCTCCCAAAAACATATATATTTTTGAAAATACAACAAATACAACTATCCCTAAAAGAGAGACCAGAAGACACAGGACAACAGCCAGACTACATCCACACCAGCGAGAACCCAGC